AGGAGTAGAAACCCAGCCGTAGCAGAGAGGAGACAGCCCTCAAGTCGGCTGCTCCACAGGCTGCAGAGATTTCAGCTCCAAGTAAGAGAATTAAAAATGTGCAGCTGCACCTGAGCTGTGTCCCCAAAAATGTGCCCCCTTCCCCACCTCTCCCAAGTGCCCTGCAGTTCTAAAGCTGTGTAAGGCAGGTGAAGTCTGCTCTAATCTCAGTGTTCTCATAAACCCTGTGTTTGTAGAGTACATATTGCAGAACACAAGTTTTACAGACACACACATAGTGTTATAGCAAGAACCTCTGGCCAAGGGAGTCAGGGATTTCAGGGGACCAGATCACCAAGGGCCTTATGCCACTGAGCAAGGGGAGAGCACTGGAGGGTCAGTGCAGAGGATGTGATGCTGCGATGTGCAGAAGTGCACTGGTGTAGGGTGGATGGGGAGGTGGGCAGGCGCAGAGGAGACAGAGCAGCTGGGGCCTTCACAGTCATGCAGGTGAGAGAGGATGCAGCTGGGACCAGGAAGGTCACAGAGAAAATGATGGGAACTGGTTAGGATTTTCACATGAATAGGCTTTGGGAAATGAGAGAAAGAGAGGAGTGAAGATGACCCCAATACTTTTTAGTCTAAGCAACTAAAGGGCGGAGGTGTCACCGTCTGAGATGGGGATGACTGAGGGGTGACCCAGTTCAGGGCAATGAGTTGAAGGGTCAGTTTTGAGGGACTATAGAGCTCAGCTGGGGATTTCAAATGGGAAGCTGAACAGACAGGTCCAGAACCCAGGAGAGATTAATCAGGAAGTTTTCAGTGTATAAAATATTACTTAAAGCCACAACAGCAAATGTATTAAAATTCCCACCAAGTACTGATTTTTCTAGCAAACCCGCCAGGAGCTAGAACACAGGTTACAGAGCCCGTGGACTTCATGATTAATTCTTAGCACACGAGCTTGGGTTCCTGGAACGGGAGGAGGGAGTGCCTTTGGTGGCAAAGGGGTACAAAAAAAGGGGGCCTGAGGCCTGGTTCCTGGGTCATTCGAACAGTTAAAGGTTGGAGTAATGAGTGAAAACAGCATGAGAATTTACAAGGAAGACCTGTGAGGTGTGAGGAAAAATAATCAGGTATGCGTGGCGTCCTGGAGACCAAATAAAGAAGGGCCGGTGATCAAACAGGCCGTGAAGGTGAAGGTTGAGATTGTGCCGCTGAATTTAGCAGCCTGGATCATCCCAGTGACCGAACCCAGTTTCCAACTGCCATCCCACAATCAATGGAGCACAGACAACTCTCCCAGGAGGTTTTGCTAAAAAAAAAAAAAAACATAAAAAAAAAAACTTTAAAAATAAGGCTTGGCTAAAAAAAGACATAAAGTCAATAGCCGAATGTTTAGTTTTTATCACATTGGGAGATTACAGCATTGTTTTTGGAATTATGGGAATGATCCAGTGGAGAAAGAAAACATAATACAAGAGGGAAGGAGAAACATGGCTGGGGTGACATCCTAAATAAAGGCCAGAGGGAAAGCAAGTGTCCAAGAGAGGTTTGTCTTAGAAGTGCCTTATCAACAAAGGAAGGCCACTGTGGCCACTGTTCTGTGAGATGAGCAGGTGTGGTGGGAGCTGGAGATTCTCCTAATGGCCTCTGGGGTGGTTTGGTTTTGTTCTGCAGAAATATTGGAAGAAAGGCTATCTGCACAGGGGCTGGATGTGGGATGTGAGTGTGAGAGGCTTAGGAAAGAAGACAAGGTGTGCAATAGTTAAGTAGGAGGGTAGGAAAGTGAACCAATCAGGGAGCAATGGGCACACTGCTAGTCATGACTAAGGGCTCAGTGAGGTGGTGGCTGTGAATTTACAGTGAAATCTGTCAGCATGTGTGTTCTTTCCACGGTCATTTTGCTCTCAGGTACAGGCATGGTGTAGGCAGAAAGCTGGGTTGAATCTCAGTTGGGATTTTGCCAGGTTAAAGTATGATGAAGCAAGAGAGGCACAAAAGCATATGATAACGAACTGTTATGGCTTGAATGGTGTATTCCCCACAAATTCACATGTTAAAATCCTGACACCCAAAGGTGATAGTATTGGTAGGTGGGGCCTTGGGGAGGTGACTGCGACATGAGGCTGGCACCCTCATGAAAGGGATTAGTGTGCTTATAAAAGTGACTCCACAGAGCTCCCTGGCCCCTTCCACAGGTGAGGACACAAGGAGAAGTCTGCGATCCAGAAGAGCGCTGTCCCCTAACCATGACCTCAAACTTCCAGCCTCCAGAACTGTGAGCAATACATTTCTGCTGCGTATAAGCCACCCAGCCGGTGGTATTTTGTTATAGCGGGAACCGTGGAATATGGTGTGTGATAAAGATGTTTGGTTTTGTCAGCTGGGAATGGAGAGTTAACCTAGCACAGGCTTTAAGCAATTGCTATCCAGCAAATGAGATTTACAGACATACTTTTCATCACATAGTGATATCTGTTCCCCCTTTTAATAATCTTTCTTTTCCCCTTTCTAGTGGGTGAAACCACAGTAACATCGAACACAAACTTCCCCTTAGGAGATGAGCGAGATGTATAATATCCCCAATAACACTGAGAGTGACCGTCTTTTGAGGCTCAATGTTTATACTGAAGAGATCACCACCCCTGCTCTCAAATGAGGCTCCAGGAGACCGTGGGGGCTGCAGGCCATGGGAGCGAACATGACCACGTGGCTGTGAAACCATCTGGAAGTCATTTCATGCACACGCCTCCTCTAGGCTTCCCTACCACTCTCCTTCTATCCCTAGTTATTGAGCTTCCTGGAGAGATTCTCAACAACTTCCCTCTCAATTTTTTTCTCTCTAGGACTTCCTCCACCAGTGAGCACAGGACCACCCCTCTCAGTGCCATCACCACACAGGGACCTTAGCAATGGGATAGGGTAAACCGATCTGCACTTCTGACTGCTGGCAGCCATGACAAGTGGGTTTGAAAGGAAGTTCCAGAAAGTGGATGCTAACTCAAGGTCAAATGGGGTCAGGGCCTGGCATTCCTGGAATATACCGTTCTTCTTTGGCAGCTTGCTTTGGCAGCTTGCATATACCATTCTTTGGGGCTCTAAAATAGCATTTCCCCTCTGGGCTGCTTCTTCTCTGTCTGGCCCTTCTCCCCTGGCAGATCCATCGTACAGCCCACACCTTGATGGCTATGGCTGAATCTCCAGGCTCCCTTCCGGCTGACTTCCTATGGGTTTGAACAATGGAGATTAGAAAGTTGAAAGAGAGGTCAGGGATAACTTCCCCCCAATCTCTGTGGTCAGGCGGAGCCCAAGTCCCCCCTCGTGGCTCCTGCTCTCCCAGAACAGAAGCACCATTTCCTCCCACTGCTGCCCCAGGTCTAGGGCTGGTGACGGCCTCCCATGGCCTCCCTAATGCCTCAACCTGACTTGTTGGTGACTTTAACCCCACCCACCCTTCTGCACATCTCCCCTTCCTTAAGGTCTCTCAAACCTTCTAAATTAATCTCTGTGTCTTGCCAGGACCTTGACTGACACCATTTTGAATTCCACCAATTTTACAACTTGCACATTGGTGCTGAAACTGCAGGAACAAAAAGAAAATTCCAAATAGGTGCAATATATTTGTTTGTTCATTCACTCGTTCATTCATTCATTTATTCTTTCATTCCCAGTGAATATGCTTATACCCATGTTTTGTTAAAAGTAGAAATAGAGCCCTTTACTTTGAGAACTTCAGAATGACTTATCAGGGAACCGGTCTACAAATAGCTTCGTTCCCCCTCCCCCCTTCCTCACCCCCCAAATAAAACTTTCACTTCCTGAATCAAAGGACACTTACAAAGCCTAGTGGTCACCTGTCATTCAGAAGACTGCTGAAATCTTGCTCTATTAATGGTGACCCTGGAACTGTAATTATTTTTATGACAGAGCTGATTTGATATCCTAACCAGCTAGTGATAAGATGGTTTGGGAAGGTCTCCTAGCTTGAAAAAAGGCCCTGAGATTCTTCCAAGAATAAAACTCAGAGGAAACGAGAAGAGTATTAATATACTTCTAAAAAGGTTTCAACAGAAACAATGAGCCTGTTGGATAGCTAAATTGTGCCAAATGTCAAAAGATTAGTAATGCAATCTTATATTTACCCAAGATTAGTTGGGCTATAAAGACTGGGGTCAAAGAATACTGCTGTTAATTTTCAATGAGCGTGCTTAATGATCAACCTTGAAGATTGCAGTCCTATTTCCTTATGAGGAACCAGGATCCTGAAAAGCCTAGGGAAAACCTGCCACAATTTCCCGGGTAAAGTCAGGTCAGAGTGAAATTTCTAAAGAAAATCTATGACTCCAGAAGGTTCTTATCTTGAGGAAAATAATTCTGCAGACTGACCAATGGCACCGATGATGCAACATCAGACAGACGTCAACATACCTTGCACAAGATCCACAGCCTATCAAGTCCTGCCAGCAGGACTCAAAGAGTATCCCTGTTAAGAATAAACAGGCAATCTGCAGTTCACCCAAGCAAAATGGATCAAAAACATTTTGCTTTGGAAAAATGAAGTCAACAAAGGACTGTATGTTAGCAACTTTAAAATTTTTTTTTTAAACATTTGTATGGATTTCAGAGAAGGGAAAGGGAGAGAGATATAGAAACATCCTGTCCTATATATAAAAGCATAATATGCAAATTGTCTGAATGGCGGAACAACAGGTGGCTATGATGCACACTGACCACTGGCGGCAGATGCTTAATGCAGGAGCTGCCCCTGGTAGTCAGCGTGATGCCACAAGGGGGAGAGCCACTCAGCCAGAAGCTGGGCTCATGGCTGGCGAGTGCAGTGGTGGTGGCAGGAACCTCTCCTGCCTTTCCTGCAGGCGGACATTAAGGAGCAAGGGGTCCCGGACAGCGAGAGGGCTCCCACCCCCAGTGTACGAATCTCGTGCACTGGGCCTCTAGTCAATGATAAGAGAGTAGAGTATCATTGATTGGCTGCCTCTTGCACACCTCCTACCGGGGATTGAGCCTGCAACCTATGCATGTGCCCTTGACTGGAATCGAACCCAGGACCCTTCAGTCTGCAGGCCAACACTCTATCCATTGAGCCAAACCAGCTAGGGCTGTTAGCAACTTTTTAAACCTTTGTTCCTAAGAAATAAGTGAGAGTGAACAAAACAAGACCAATATCAGTCCAAATTCTGGTTTTGCTTTAGTAACTCCATTAATCTTTGGCATGTTTATCATTCAATATATAGGAAAAAATATTCATTTCCCTTGCTTTACAGACAAATCTGTTATAAAGAGGCCTTATCTCACTCTGAAATGGTTTTTGGGAAAGAAAACAAGAAAAGCATGATCACATCAAATATACTAATTAATTCCACAATGTACCCCATCTTTAGAAATATTAAATTAGGCCAAATATAGCCTAGGAAACAGGACAAGGTTACCCTCTCCCTGAGTGTGTCACAGAAGTAAATAACAAAGACTGCCAAGCCCGTTACGACTCCTGGGACAGAGCAAGCCCTCATCAACACTGAGATTTTATTGTTAGCATTAGTATTAGAATTAGAAGGAGAAGCATCTGGTAAGGTATTTGCTCAACATATTCCAGTTCAAAATACCATGGAATGTTAGAGGTAAAATATATTGCAGAAAGGTTATTCTCCTTTTTTATAGGTAATCTGTACAGATGGTGAGATAAAGTTAAGTGACTTACCAGAGCCCTCTGTCTGATTAATAATAATAACAATAACAATAGAAGTGCTTACTGTGTGCCAGGCACTGTAGTAAGTGCTCTATGTATAATATTGAATTGACACAGCAGTCCAATGTGACAGCATACCATACTAGTTACTATTATCCCATTTTATGGACTAGGAAGTTGAGGCCCACACCACACAGTGTAAGTGAATCTCACAAAGACACACTCTTGGTCAGAGTGGGAGCTCTGATTCAAACCCAGGTCTACCTGACACCAAAGCCTGGGCTCTTCCCACCGAGCAGTACCTCCTATGTGGCTTGTCACTTGCTCCTTCCCGGATTGCTTTATGACAGGAAGTCTTATCTTTTCAACAAAACCAAGTGCAAGGACAATGCTACCTGTTTCTTTTGAACATGCATGGCATAGGACTGGGTCCTGGGCAGATGCTCAGAAAAATGTTTGCTGAGGGCACAGCAGTATTAAAAAACGCCTTGTAACAGCACAAAACCGTGAATGCGGAAGCACTCGAGACGAGCCAACTCTGGACAAAATTGCTCAGGTAATGACTTGTGCCTGGATTCCGTCCCGTGGCAGAAAGTGAGTCCTCACTTCTTTAATTGCCCTCGGTTCATCAGTTCAAGAACTGGGCTTGAGGAAAACTGCTCCTCAGCTCTAAGCAGCAGAACGGTAGCATATTCTCCTGCTAGGCCTACGCTAGTGCTGCTATCTATCAATCACAGCAAACAACACCCAACGAGCTTGCTCAAGCACCCCTAAGGCAGGGCATGCCTGACAGGCATGCAGGTGAAACCAGATGTCCTTGAGAACAGAGCCACTTCCAACTGGTATGAGTTGAATGTTGACCTGTTGAATGTTGGGCACACACACACAGGAACCTGGAGCAATGCTTAGCTAAGGGGCAGCGCTAGCTGATGCTTTTCTTTTCACATTGAAAGAGAATGAGCCCCTCTTGAGAGAATGAAGAGACCCAGAATGTAAGGTAAGAATTTCCCACTAGTCTCTGGGGAAGGTGCTGTGATGGCAGTCCTTGCATCCTGGGCCCGGGCTGGAGAAGGCACCTCAGCCTTTGGCATGTGTGCTGAGGAAGCAAGCATGACACCTCAGCCTTCAGGAGAACACAGGGCTCCTTGTACCAAGGACTAAGGCAGGAGGGTCAATTGAGGGATGTGAAGGCTGGTGACACGAGTTCTTGACCTATTTCTTTTTAGAAGCTAACCCCCTTCTTCCCTCCTCTGCCTGGCCCAGCACCCTCTCCTCCCATTAAAAATTGGGCACTGGATCTGCTGAATTGGACCATGGCCCACACTCAGCCTCAATCTGGCTGTGTTACTTCCCAAACCAGATCAGTAACATCATTAACCTGAGAAATGTATACAAACTATTGCTATGCAAGATAACTCCAAAAAGACAATCCCAAGTTCATTACAACTCAGCTAAAACAAAAGACCATGATGCTTAACAAGGCCTAGGTCTCATATTTACAAACCACGTAAGAGACATCTGGAAAACTTTATGGTCTACCCAATCAGAGTTGTGTACACATTGAGCATATACATTTAATGTGTCCTTAATGCTTCCCCACAGCTCCCCCCACCCCCACCACTTTTTATCCTCCCACCCCCCTGAAGCACAGATAGGCTTGCTGTTCTGAGTTCTAATAAATTTCCTGTTGGAACACTTGTAACAGTTTCCAATATCTCCCATCAAATCCAAAACAAGGTCAAAGGCACTTCCTGAGTCTTTCAGTGAGCTCATACCATGCCACAGTGGGAAGCTTTCCTCTTATTGCTCAGAAGTTTGGGCACAGGGAAAATTTGGAACATGGCAGGTGAAGGAGAGCCATGCCCGACTCTGGAGAGTTCTGTTCCAGGGCCTCTGGCAGTCACAACTAAAGTTAGACAGAGCTGAGGCAACACACCAGGCAGCACACCTTGTAATCAGTGTGTGCACATACCAGGACATGTTGTACCTTCTCTCCGTGATGTGCTCATCTTCCACTTGAGCCCCATCTGAATCCAATCATTTGCCTGCCTTCCTCTTTCTCCTTTAGATCAGGAACTGACACCAGGAAGAAAAGAACGCTGTATATATTTGTAAAACATCTCTAAAAAGCTCAGAAATTGCCATAAGAGCATAGTTTTAACATTTTACTCAATAATGATTCTGTTGAAAATTCCAGGGTAGTGTCTGACTCACTGAGGCTTATCATGAAAAACTGTGCTACAACACAAAGACCCTAGACCTGTGTCTTATGCTATAAAACATGAGGCGTGGTCTTGAAGATCTCAGGTCCCTTTTATCAATCCCTTACTTCCGGCAGCTAAGTTTTCATGTGCAGCGCCGATGGACGGATGGATGAGCAGCGTACCTTCTTAAAAGTGTGGGCGAATGCTTTAAGCAAGATCTGGATGAGACCTATCCTCTAGTCACCCTCACAGCAGTTAACACGATACGTGGAAAAGCTGCTGAGCTTAGTGAAATCACCCATGGTGCTTCCAGATCTTTCTCTCAGCGCTTGGTCAGTCTAGCTTGCAGAAGAGCTCATTTTCAGAACTTGACCATCTTTAGGGCTTTTTTTTTTTTTTTTTTTTTTTTTTTTTGTCAAGGCCCCTCCTCCACTGTTATGTTTACAAATCTGGCTGCTTTTCTTAGCCTAGAGCAGTGGTTCTCAACCAGGAAGACTTTTCTCCCCTGGTGGCATTTGGCAGGGTCAGGGTTAACTTTTGGTTGCCACAAGCTGGAGAGGTGTGTTACTGGCCATCCAGTGGGTGAAGACCAGGGAGGCTGCTAAACATCCTACAGTGAGAAGGGATGTCCTCACAACAGAGAACAGTCTGACCCCAAATGTCAATCGTGCCAAGACTGAGAAGCCCAGGTCTAGAGAGAGGAGGGATGAAGGTAGGGAGGGAGAGAGGGAGGGAAGGAAGAAAGGAAGAAAGGGAGGAATAAAGGAAGGGCGAGGTTAGAACCAGCATTCCTCTCCGGCCACACTTTTTCCAGAAGGGCCACATGCTGGCCTGCAGTAGCTGGCTCATTGCACACATGTATGTTAGCTGCCAAGATGCTATAGGCTCTCTGAGTTTGTGACCTCTGAACTCTTATTACACATCTGGCATTGTGTTTTAAACCCCCTCCCTTCTCCTCTAAAAGAGGGTCTAGTAACGGTGCTTCAACTAAGTTTCAGACTCTTTGCAGATCAACAGAAAGCCAGTCCAGCCCTCCTGAGCTGATTCTCTCAGGTGACCTAGCAAGGTGGGCTGTTTTCTTTGCAGGTTGAAACTCTTGTTTTTCTTAGGACACAATGTTCTCTTGAGGCTCTATGCCTGGCAGCAAAAAAACAAAACAAAAAACAAAAAAAGAAAAGCAACCACACAACTTTGCTGTGGGTACACAGATATGGGGTGAGGATTCAGGGTCTGATAACTCAGACACTTGGAGAACTTCCTTATCAAGGTGAAAACCCCTTACCCCTCAGAGGCCTTACCCAGGCCTGGAGCTTTTGGGCAACCAACTAAGAGTCACAGGGGATGGCAACTGGAGAGAAAAGTGGCTGCTGACTCAACAGTAGCCAACGGGTAGGCGTCAAGCCGTTTCCTCACCTGCTAGTGCTCCATAGCTGCTACATTTGTCTCTGCCAAGCTAATGCGACCCAGAAGTTCCCAGTGGCCTTCCCCACCGAAGGGACTACTGGCTGGTCTTTGAAACACCTGTTGGCAATACCCAGCTCGGAGACCTGGGCGTCCTCACCTTTCTCCACACTGGACTGAGGCTAGCCAGCAGCGGCCGCTCCTCCCTGGCATGGACCCTGATTTACCATGGAGCCCTAAGGAAATCATTCTTTACCCCATACCAAGAGGTCAGAGAGGTATACTAACCTTTTTTCTATCACATGAGAAAAAGCAAGATCCATAAGAGATTTCCAATCTTCCCATGGACCAGAAGGACTCTTGGAGAAGACCCTACGTTGTCTAGTTAGTAACAGTCCTGCCCCACTCTGTTCCTACAGAACACATTTCTATGGGGGTGGCGTTGTGACTACCTTAAAACAAACGAACAGGAAGCCTGCATTCTCCAGATTCCCTTGCAGAAAGGGGTGGCCCTATGAGGTTGATTAACAATATGTACCCTGGTCACAAGTAGGACGTTGAAGAGAACAAACTTGGCTGGGTGGCTGTTTACCTTTTGCCCTCTACCCTGAAGCATGTACCTGGATCCCCTGCCGCTGTGTCTCAAGCACAAGAAAGCGGGCGGTGTGGTAGGGGTTGTGAAATTAAGAGACAGCGCAAAGAAGCTGCGACACTTGCTGTTATGGAAACTCCAGTACTTATACCATGGCAACTTTGCAATTTATTTCATTTTTCTGAATCTGTTTCCTGAAGTATGTTCTTATCTCCCTTGCAGGGTTCTTATGGGGACTTAAATGAGATAATATCTGCTAAACTGCCTCAGAATGGCTGATAAAAATCAGTTTCCAAATCAACAAATAAATCATTCCTTTCTCCTTTCCAACCAGATCTCCTGACTTGAGGAGAAACCAAGCCAGACTCACTGCTGCTTACTAATAAGCTAAGCAGGCCTCTGTCTAAAGTGTTTTTTGACTTGGTGTCAGATTATTGAGAAAACAAGGCCCTAGGCCAGTGCTTTTCAGCCATTTTCATCGCAAGGCACCCATGAACTAATTATTAGAATTCTGTAGTACACCAAAAATATGTTTTGCCGATCTGACAAAAAAATGAAGCATAATTTGATTCATTCTTAAATTTGATGAGGTAGGGGGGTAAGGAGCTCAATGGCCCTAAGAAGTCAGGTATTGCATGTTTAAAAGTTGCCTCACACCAGCTGAAAATCGCTGGACTCAGCAAAGAGAGTCCCTTCAAGGCGAGCAGCAGGAGGGTGAGGAGCAGACTGGGCCATGCGGGCTGAAGCAGCGAGAATGGGTAGCTTTGCTCAGTAGGGAGCCTACGCATATCTGAAACAAAGCACGCATCAGGAAGGATCTCATGTGCCCTGACAGCTCAAGACAGTCAACGTGCAGGGAAATGCGGCAAAATACAAAAGCCAAGAGGGAGAGCCATCCTTCGCACAGCTCCAGGGCCTGCAGACCTGACACAAGGGCCGTTCTTTTCCCAGGTACGAGCACACACGTGGTTTTGAATCCTATGTGCATGCAAATTACCTGCAAACAGGTGACTCTTTTCTAATGTTTTCAACTTTTCAAGGAAATCATAGGCTTCCACAATTTCTCTTATCTAGCCCACAGTTCTTGGCACCAAGTGAGTCTGCCAACTTCCTTCTCTTGAGAGCAGACATCAGCCAGCTTTCACTGTAAGGGGCCAGAGAGTAAATACCTTAGGCTTTGTGTGGCCCATAGGGTCTCTGTCCCCACTCTGCTCTTTCTTCGGAAGTGAGAAAGCAGCCATTGGGAACACTGATAACACGGGAAGGAATGGGCATGGTTGCGTTTCAATTAAACTGTATTTACAAAGCAGGTAGCCTGGTTTGGCAATCTCTGCTTTAAAGGACATTGGGACTAGGCTATACAAAAGCAAACGAGAAACATTTGATCAGACGCAACACTCTCTCCCCATTAGTTATTACCAGGAAACAAACCTGTGAGGCAAGACTTTTAAACAAACCAGAAAAGCATGAAAATCAACAGAGAAAAGCATGAAATGGGAGAGACAGGCATCCCTACATTTGAAACAGTGCTTATCATGCGAAGCCAAAGACTCAAATGTTCAAAGATTAATGCGAATTGTGATAAGCGAGGAAGTGAATACAGTCATCTGTAGACTATAGCACAGGGATTCCACATGAAGGTCAAGGTAACTGTTAGGAATGAATGGGAAACGCCAATAAGAATTCCAGCCTTTGAACCTTTAAGCACAAAAGTAGAACAAGAGGCAGAGATAGGAGTTTGGGGCAGTAGCAGAACATTTGGTCCAAACAGATGTCCTCCAGACATCTGAGGCCCCTCCCTCTGGCCCCAACACTACTGGGCACTGGCCTCATTGCTTTGCTTTCTTCCTTACTCATATACAAGTGTTCATATGATGAAAATGACTTACGTGGGCGGCACATGGAGGGAGATGAACAAAACAGAGAGAAAATCAGAGCCAGAGGAGGGTCATGAGGCCGAGCACCTTCAGGAAGGCTGGTCTTTTGGCTGTTCTGTGGCTGTGCCATTGTCTCCCACAAATGGACTTTGTTTCTACTCTTCTTCTTACCCTGAACCTTCTTCTTTCACAAGGACTCACCTCAAGCCGATGTTCTAAGGACATCATGTACACAGAGGTTGGTCCTTTCGATCCTCAATAGGTACAGGAGGTCCTATTATATCCTCATGGAACAGATGAGACAACAGAAACACAGAGAGGACAAGTAATTTTCCCAGGGCTACACAGCTAACTGGTGTCAGAACTGGAACTAGAACCCAGACCGTCTGGCTCCAGTCTGTGCTTCCAGCCTCCGCATTATCCCGAATTCACAGTTTTCCTCCTCCACAGCGCTGACAGGGCACCTCAGCCTCCACTCTACCCCACTGTGTATCTCAGAAGGTTTTTATTTTTATTTTTCATTTTCTCAAGAAAACGATTTAATATAGCTTTCAGATACAACTGCCAATTTATCGGCAATAAAGAGGACAGGAAAAGATGTGAAAGGATACCCTGGATAAACAATCAGCAAAATCCAGATTGTAGCAAACTCTCCAGGGTTAAACTACTCGGTATTTTCGTATTTTCAGTGACTAGATGACAGAGACAGTGATTGATTTTGAACCTATAGATTAAGAGACTTAAAAGACTTATAACCACTTTCAATGTGTGGACATTATTTAGAGCCAGATTTTTAAAAAATCAAAAAACAAACTGTAAAACAAATTATGACAATTTATGAGACAACTGTAATTTGAACACCATCTGAATGATTTAAAGCATTATTTTTTTCATATAATGATAGTATGAATATACCTCTAAAGCTTTTATCTTTTAGAGATTTATTCTGAAAACCAACAGAGAAAATGAATGAATATAATAAACTGATGTCTGGAATTTGCTTCCAAATAGTACGGGAGAAAGAAATTGGGTGTGGCAGAAATGATACAAAATTGGCCATGACTTGATTACTACTGAAGCTGAGTGATAGGTGTTTGAGGACTCATGATTCTCTTCTGTTTACTTTTGTATATATTGAAAAACATTATATAATAGGAGTTTTATAGAAGTGTGAAAGAGAGACACGCTAGGGTTTAGGAACAAGGCTTCAGGCAAGGAGGAGATTCCCTATTTGTCAGTATTTCATCTACATGTGTATCCTCTTTCAGCACATATTTTGAAGTGAAAGTTTAAATGGAATGCAAGTATGGAAGGGAAATGCTCTCATTCCTGAAAGATAAGTCGTGGAGATGCTGGGATAATCTGGCAATTAATCCCCCAGGAGCAAGTTTCTTGAATAGCCGGAAAGTGCTCACAGACCAATGAGGCCTAACCTCTGTTTACCCATGGCCATACCTAATCCTGCTCTGACAAGTTCAGGGCAGAAAGCACGAGGAGGATGAAAATCACCCCCATATATCTCGGCCTGGAGGAGGAAAGGAAGTCCTCAGTGAAGGAATAGGGAGCAACTACACACATAGAGTGTGAAAGGTCACATGGAGTCCTGTTCAAGGGACTGTCCCCAGAGGCCAAGGTTTCAGTCCCAATCCCACAACCCATCTGCTGAGCAACTTCAGAAGGTCACTTAACTACTGTGTGTCTTGACTGTTTTCCTATGAAGATCCATAATCTAATCCAATAGATAAAACTAAAGATATATGCTTTTGAAAGTCAGCCAAAACACTAGACCTGATAAATTACTCATTTCTAGTCTAGTGAAGGCTTCTTTGAAATGTTACCACTGAGTCACAGAGCTCTGGTTCTTTGGCAAGACAAAGAAACAAGGTGAAATTAGTGAAGCTGGGAAGAGACTATATATAATATGCAAAGTGTCCGTGTGGGAGTTTGACCGGGAGACTGGGAGCTCTATTGCTCACCGTGACGTGCACTGACCTCTAGGGCTGTGTGTGATGCGGAACAAAGAAAGGCTCCAGCTGACAGCGAGGGAGGGCCCAGCCAGCAGCGAGAGACCCCGATCAGCCCAATCACTGGTCAGGCCTAGGCACCCTACCTGTGTATGAATTTCCTGCACCAGGCCTCTCGTATTGAATAAAATGGAATCTGAAAGGTAATATGCTCCACACTGGGATCAGTGTTTCAACTAAGGGGATAAATTGTGGATGAAAATGATGGGATGAAAACAGATGAGAGTAAATGAGTTTTCTTCCAGGACACTGCTAACTCTGGGTATTCAACCATCTATTGTCTGGAACAACTGTAATCATATGTCAGACGAAGCATACCTGGGACTTACAAATTTCACAGGCCGAATAATACTGCCTCAACTTCCAGAAACTAGACTCCCACAATGCAATGCATGACTTTCCATTTGGTGTCCTAAGATCAGGCATAGCTCCAGGTCTGTGTCTCCAGGAAGATGTATCCAATATACATTAGGTGCAGGCATGCAGCTGTATAATGAAGGCCTAATGAGATCATTAGGTCTTCAACAGAGTTTAAGAAAATAATTGTTCTGGTTTGCTAAATGGCCTTCAAAGAAAGAACAAGTCCTTGGAAATGATGAAGGAGCCTGGTACACTGAATTGGTTGACAATACTCTTGACCTTAAATTGCAGGAATTATTCACTAATCAAGAACAACTAATTCTCTCTGCTTAGAGAGCCTAATTAGTTTTGTGCTCCTGCTTCCCCTCCTGACACAAAGTACCTCTTCACAATTCAGGGAGGTTTCCGATGGCACTGCCTCAACTGGTCTTGACAAGAGAAGAGATGAATCATAGCAGCAGCCTGGCACCCTCTCAATTTATAACAACTCCTCACCAAAGGCTAAATCAGAGCTGGCCAGATACAGGGAGCTTTTTCTTTTCTTTTTAAATAAAAAGAGGGACATCCACAAAGGAGAAGTCCTATTTGACATAAGTAGAATAACTGGTGACTTGGCCAATAGAGCTGCTGTCAAGGGTGGGTCCATGCAGACAAGCCCAGATAGGATTGGCTTGTGATGATGGCTCCAAAACTAATCTGTTTCAAGAGATAAAATGCTCAACATAATCTCCTGTATAATGAAGACGCATAGAGCTACATGCCTGTCGGACTCCTGAGCCCCACCTCCATTCAGCTTCTGTAAGCCAAGGCTTTCATGCTTTCTCCACTGCAAGTGTTTCTTCTTGAAATCGAACATGTGTATACAAGCTTCAGTTACCTGCACAAACAGCATTCTACCCTAACCCAAATGAGCCTACGATCCCAT